GTGAAGGTAACTGATGTGTTCAAACAAACACCCTTAAGAGAATCTGCTACTGTGTACACGGCCTTTATTTTCTCCTAGAGGGAAGGTATGTGTCACTCCCACAACCAGATAGTATAGTGAGCTGAGAACCCAGAACCCATGCCACTGGGTCAAACCAACTCTAATGCTTCACATTTTATGACAAAAGACAAGCCAGAAAATCTCACACGTCCCTATGAGGACGAAAGCACCCCTGTGGTCAATGAATTGCCGTGCACAGTTATACGTGAGTTAAACTTGGGGAGCAAAGACCGGGCTGTCAATCGCATAATTTTTAATTATAAGTAGTGGAGTGCTTATGTCCTGGACACTGGGGCCAAAATCAGAGGAGATCTACACTTCCGAGAAGACCCGCTTGGCCCGGAGAGGTTTTAAGGCAATAACATGGGTTTCAAAATAAGCCATTCCTTGTATTTCCAACCACCTCGAAACACCAAGGAAGACTTCCTGTAATTCCACCGAATTTCTTTAAAAACACAAACCTATGCAGCAGACGCAATGCAGCCTGCAAGAGGCCGTTTTCTGTCTGTGAGCTATAATGGAGTGCAGCTCAAGCTACCCAATGAGCCATCTTAAAGGGCCTTCGGTGGACTGGCAGGCTGTGCAGCCACCGCCTCGCCCAGCTTCAGGGCTTCTCATTCACAGGGAGCCTGCCCGGTGCCCACTGCCCAACCCCCCGCGCCCCCCCTCTCCCCCCTGCGAATCACCCATTGGACACGTCACACGTGCCCGCCCTGCTCCCCGCCCTGAGCAGTGCTTCAGTCCAGGCGCCCCAGGCCTCTGTAAGGGCCACGAAGCTGCCTGAGTAGCTTACGTGGCTACGGAAGCAGCTCAGAGGGTCTAAGGGCCTCACTGGCTCGGACAAGGTTGCATTAACAGTCACTAGGTTTTTTGGAGACTACCTGGCAGTCACGGAATCAAGACACTGGTATTTAGGATGGGGGGAGAGGATGACCCTACTTTGGGAAGGGGGTGCCTGGGAAAACAGGGGCTTGGAATGAGGAAATGCTGAATTCAAGTTAAAAACTTCCCATTGCCAAGCACTGCAAGCCAGTGACCCCAGCAATATCCCAGCTGGAATGAATTCACGTCCCTGGTCCTCAGGACAACTGTGCCTCCTGACAGAGCGGCTCCGAGCCCGAGAACTTCCTAGGTGAGGCCCACGAATGTGGTCAGGAGCAGCCTGCCCCCCACCTGCTCGCTGCCTCCAGCACTTCCCTGGGCAGCGCAGTCCTGGACCAGCCGCCTGCCACACCTGTGAGCTGGCGGCAAAGCAAGAAGCTGGGCCCAGCCATGTAGAACCAGGACCTGCACTTTAAAAAAGTCCGGGCTCCTGTGTCTTTGAGGCTCAGAAAGCACCATGCAGCTGGCCCCAAAGTGGCACTAAACCAGGGCCTCCACACGACCTACGTGACCACAACAGAGAAGATAAGCAAAAAAGTCCTAAAATTAAGTAGCTAGGAACCTTTCCCCTTTTTAGGAGATGTGAGCAGACAGACACTAAACCTCAGATGGAGGAGCGAGGAAGCCGCACGCAGACACGGCTGCTGGCGACAGCAACGCGCAGGGCTATTCTGGGTTTGGCGAGCTTTGCACTGCTCTGGCAGCCACGTCTTCCCTCTCACTGAGCACAGAGCAGGGTGACCCAGCCTGTCTCCAGCAGTTACATGCAAAGGCCAAGTGTATAAAAAAGCATACACTCCTATGTCCCTTATCAAAATGAAAACAAAAATAAACGTAACACATTCCAATGCAACCCAGACACACAGCAGGAGCATCCCTTGTAAAACAAGCACAATTATTCGCAGCGACAACCATCCAGTGTCAGGCGCTGGGAGTAACTCGGGTTCCTGCCCTTCTTCCATGAACGTGAGCCACCCGAGCGCTTTCTCACACGAGCGCCAGGTCACCTGACTGCCCTGAGCTCTCACAAGGAACACACGTGTAAAGGACACGGCTGTAATTTATGGTGATACATGGTGCTCGCATGGGACATGTCTAGCTCAGAGGCCATAAGCAATTCTAAAATTTTTTAAAAAGCTTTTATCGTTGTAAGTATTACCAATGTCCCCTATTTTCCCCAGTGACCCCTTCCAGCCCACCCCATGCCCACCCGGCCCCCACCCCACAGCTGTCTGTGTCCACGGGTTATGCTTATGCCCATACTAGTCCTCTGGTTGATCCCACCATCCCTCTGAGATTGCAGCCTGTTCCAGCCTCCAGGCCTCTTGTTCTGAGATTGCCAAAGTACGTTTGGTCATCGGTTTCCGCTCCCAGGTGAGTGCTGGCCCGATCCCCTGGGCCCCGGCCAGGTGAGCTCAGGCAGGCGGCTCTGCCCTGAGCTCCTCTCCCTGACAGCAGCCAGGGCGGGACCCCCACCTCCTCCTGAGCCCCGAGGCTCACTTCCAGCTCCTCAGACCGCAGGCCTTTCCGGTTCCTGCTCTGAGAGCAGCACAGCCTAGGCTAGACGGCCGAGTGACGCCCCAGGACAGCGGGAAGGGCCGGCGGCGATGTCAGAGTGGCCCCCGTCTTGCTGAGGAAAGGCCTGCACTGACTGACAGCCTCAGCCTCACCCGCGGGGCTCACCCAGCTCAGACACCCTCCTACCCGACACAGGCTGACACGCCCGCCCAGCTCCATCTCCCAGGCCTGGACTCCACCCCAGGGGACAGGAGAGGCAGGTCACCCTCCTGGAGGCCACACAGCCAGGGATGGCGAGGAGCCCAGCAGTGAAGGGTCCGCGGAGCCCATGCCTGAGCACAACACGACAGAACATGGTGTCTCAGCCTAAGGGGCCCGTGGTCCGGCCGGTTCCTCCTGCGCCCGCCGGCTGCACCCGCCGGCTGCCCACGGAAGCGCCACGCCTGGCAGTCCTCTCTCTACCTCCAGCCACCAGCCCGAAGCGGGAACCTAGGGCTCTGGCTGCCAGCACGCTTCCCCAAAGGAAAACAAATTAACACAAGGCTTTTGTTATAAAATCACCATAGTATTTGGTAGACTACGTGGCCACATACAACTGTCTAACTTGAAAAAACAGCAAGAATGCTACGAGAAATTTCCAGAGACCACCACACAGCCCTGAAATAAAAACATTCTCGGCCATGTTTGTCTTGGAGGCAAGCTCACACTGCTCGCCAAGAATATTTTATGAATCCCCAACTGCCCTGGGGACCCAGAAAAAGGGGGGACCGCAGAGAAAGCCCGTCCTCCGCACAGAGGGGGGCTCCCCGGGTGTGGTGGACGCTGCCACCTTGGCCCTGAGAAACGACCTCCTGGCCACTGGGCGTCACCAGGCTGCGGCGAGCTCCCCCACCGAGCGGGGCAGCGGCTCTTCTTCCTCCAGCCTGTGGTGCCGTCACTCCCTCAGCTGAGTGGCCGGGCTCCCTCCAGCAGACCCTGGGGACCCGGTGGGACCCCCCGCCCCACCTTCCTCACTCAGCAGCGAACCCCACAGGCAGGCTAACCTTGCACCTGGCTCCTGCTTCGCTTCTGAGAGTGTTTGTGGGAGGCCCAGGCCATACCTTGGGGGGCAGAGGTGCCCAGGGAGGCAGAGGGGATGCGGCAGGCGCCAGGCGAGCAGGCTGGCACAGAGGCATCTCCACAGATGCAGGACTTCTTCCTCTGGGACGTGAGGGGAGAACCCATGTCGTGACCGGGAGAGAGACCAGGGCATCACTCATGGAAGCTGACTCACAGGTGCCATCTTGCCCATCCGTGCGGGTTAGTCCTGACATCTGATCAGGCACAGTGACCTCAACCACCACCGATGCGGACAGAGTGTCCCAGGCCACTTCCCTCCCACTCGTGACTCTAAGCTCTGATGTCTTCTGCTTCCCAGGCCCAAGAGCCGGCCCAGAGCTACCACAGGTCAGAGCGAGGCCACAGCGGCTCTGCAGGCAGTACACCGACAGCCCGAGTGAGCAGTGCTACTAGGAGACGTCGCAGGGAGGGGCCGGGTGGACACTTAGCAGATGCAAGAGCCACGCAAGAAATGGACGACACCATAGTATTTGGTAGACTACGTGGCCACATACAACTGACTGACTGCAGGCTTCGGAGTGACCGGAGTGGGGAGCAAGTAACAGCAGAAATGGCAACAGACAATTTCAACTTTTATGGATAATGAAAACAATGACTTAAAAAAAATAAACGGACTGTAATTCACAGAAATGAGAGCAAGTATGTTACAGATAGATGTGTGTAAGACAGAACATGTCTAAGTGGACACGCATACATGGCTCACCCTAAGTGATGTATGTAAACAGAACATAGCTAAGAGGACGGTTATACATGGCTCACCCTAAGTAAAGCCATCTGCAAAAACCATCAGCCAATTCTTGGGGCTTTTGAAACCACTCCTGACCTAGGTCACATGACTTCTCGCTCAGACATGGGAAAATGTGTGTAACTGTGAGAACATGCACAGGGAGTCTCCCTTCCCTTCGGCTCCGTTTGTGCTTCTTCCTGCGGCCAGGGGTCCTCCAATGTGCACCTCCCCCCAATCCTCCCAGAGATGCAGCCAGAGCCACAGGAAGGTGTGCAACAAACAAGGAGGGCAGGGCACGGCTCTCCTGTCCACATTTCCAGTGACCCAGCCACTGGAGCCCTGTCAGGGTCAGAACCTGTGGCTCAGCCACACCCCACTCCCAGGAGGGCCTCAGTGGGAACATGGGACATGGGGCCCAGACCAGACCCCCCCCCACCCTCCCAGGAGGGCCTCAGTGGGAACATGGGACATGGGGCCCAGCACAGACACCCCCCCCCACCCTCCCAGGAGGGCCTCAGTGGGAACACGGGGCCCAGCACAGACCCCCCACTCCCAGGAGGCTCTCAGTGGGAACACAGGGCCCAGCACAGACCCCCCACTCCCAGGAGGCTCTCAGTGGGAACACGGGGCCCAGCACAGACCCCCCACTCCCAGGAGGCTCTCAGTGGGAACATGGGGCCCAGCACAGACTTACCCACTCATAGGAGAGGATCCAGCAGCCGCGCGCGAGGCCCAGCAGCACGTTGAGGGTGCGCAGTGCCTGCCCGGCCAGCACATGGGTGGTGCTCTCACACACTTCCCGGGCCAACGAGAAGCCTTTCAGTTTGGCCACCACCCGGGTGACAATGCTCTGCTTTCTGTCAAAGAGGGAAACAGCACCGTCAAGGTCTCCTGCGCAGGAGCATCAGGCGACACAGCCAATCGCACAGGCAGAGCAGCTGTGCTGCTGCCCCGATTTCAGCTGCTCTGGCCACGTCTCAGTCTCCCTACAGCCCATATCTGGGAATCCGGGGAGGCAGGACGTCCGCTCTCACTCGGGGTCGCTGTGCAGGGCTGAGTGCAGGCCGGGCTGCGACGTGTCGCCAGGTCCCAGACGGGCGGGAACGCAGCCAGGGAGTGTGCAGCCTGGGAGTGTGCTCACCAGCGGCGGGCAGGCCTGCCTCTCTCAGTGGCGGCACATCAGCAAGGGACCTGGTCCTGCGAATGCATGGAACTCACATGCCTACCGTAGCCTGATTTTCACAGAAAGGGCCCAGTTTCTATGAGAATCTCAAAACCTCAAAACCGATGTCTGATGTGAGGAACCACAGGTGTCCCTGTGACAGGAATTCCAGAATCGGTCACAAAGGTGGTGCCGCATCTCCGTGGGAAGTGCGTGCTGTCCAGAGGCTCTGCACCCTCAGGACACATGTGGACGCTGCTCCAAGCACGCAGGGCCCCGCCAGACCCTGCCCAGAGCTTCAGGAAACCGGGAGCAAGGCTCCCTGCTGAGCAGGTGCGAGTCCTGGGCAGGTGCTCACACCCGCACCAGCTGAGCAACAGGGAGAGCAAGTCCTCTCTGGGCTATGCACCCAGCTTCGGAGTGAACCTGCTAGGTCTTTTATTTTTTCAATCCTCACCCACGCTATCATCCATTGATTTTTCAGAGGGAGTGGAAGGGCAGGGAGAGACTCATGGATTGGTTGCCTGCCGTCAGCGCCCCTACTGGCCGGGCAGTGAACCGCAACCTACTTATGTGCCCTGCACCATGCGACCTGCCAGGCCCGGGCCGATGCTATAACCATAGAGCCTGGCCAGGGCACTCTCAGTCTTTAACCACTTTGAAGTGTACAGGGATTTTCCAACTCAGATGTTAATGATATAGCACAACTGAGAGACAGTCCAGACCTGCGGGCTGCAGAAGCCCAGCTCACAGGACATGCAGGAAGCAAAACCCTACGCTGAGGGGAAGCCATGGGAACAGTGAGTACTTACTCAATGGGCATGCTTGTCATGACCAACGTTCTCACTGGCTGCAGGGTTCAAAAGAGAAGGGAGAAACAAAGTCAAAAATGCAAAACATTTCCCACATAAACAAACATTAACATGTGTTTTTTAAAGTTACATCACTTAAAAATAAACATTTCAGCAAATATCAAAGGAAAATAACATTGTCTTCCTGAAAACAGCCTATGAGACAGAAAGGGAAACAGTACCCCGAAACCAACCCAAAATAACCGGGACGTGTGGTGGCAGAGAAAACCCAGGTCCCCTCCAGATGCCCACCCCCTGGAGCGAGAACCCGGCCACTGTGCATGGGCTCACGGCTGCTCCTCTGGACCGACAGACCAGCTTTGTGGTCCCATCATGAAGAGTGAGCCCATTTCCTGCGGTGAGCTGTGACGCCCCTTCTCAAAGCCCTCTTTGAATGTCTCCCCCGGACAATGCCCAGACGCACACTCTGAGGCAGTTCCCCCTCTCCTCTCTCCCTCCGCCCGCCCTCCTTCCCTCCCTGCCTGCCTGCCCCGCTTTGATTGGCTCCCAGAGGCCTATCCATGGGCCATAGGACTGGGCTGATGACCTGGTTTTCTGAAGTTGCCTTTCCTCTCGACCAGTTTTTGTTTTGTTTCACTGACAGATACACCAAGGCAGGCTGTGGAGGCACTGTGGGCTCCGCACCGGACACAGCAAGGCATGCCACAATAGAGCAAGCCACGTGTGTCGGTCTCCCAGCCCACGGAAGACTGTCTGTGTGACACTAAGCCCGCCGAGTGTGCAGGAGCTTCATGTCTAACCTATGTGCACGCCCTGATTAAACCACTCCGCTGCCAAGAGAGAAAGCAGCAGAGCGTGCAAAAGGCCTCCAATGTGCACACAATACCAAGCTCCCCCCCATCACACCACTGTCCCTGCCTGCGGGGGCCGAGCCCGCCGAGAACAGAAAGGTCTGGGCCCCGGCAGAGGGCCTGGACACGCCCACGGCTGGAGGCCGAGCCTGGCCCTTCCCTGAAGGATGCGTGGGCTCCTCACCGCCTACCCCTGAACGTCTGTTCCCATTACAGAACCATTTCTGGCATAGCTGACACCCTCGGCTCCAGACGGCCATCGGTATCTCCACAAGCAGGAGCCGCGCCGGCGAGAGCCACAGGGCTCACAGGGCCCCCGCCTCACCCCGGTGAGCCGGCACGGGGACAGTTAGCGGACGTCACACACCAACCTTGGGGCCTCTCACTTTCTTCTTCGGGGCTGCAGGTCTGGCCAGGTCCTCACAGCCCTCCCGGGCGCCTTCGGGGACATCTTGCCTTGTGGGTGCAGGCTTGACATCTGCAACCGAGGGGCCTGGAGGTCAGTTACCACGTCCCATGCACTGGAGGCCAGGCAGCCGTGTGCGGCTCCGAGGCAGAACCTGCAAACAGTAGCTCAGCCTCTTTGCGCTGAGGTCCACTCCGGACCGTCCCTTCACGCCGCCCAATGTGCCACACAGCCCCTGACTCCACTCGGCAGTTGGTACCACTGTGCCTCTAGGCAACAATGTGCAGCTCCCCTGGCCCAGGCGTCCACCTGCCCTTGGGGACAGACCCTCCATCTCCCGCACAACTCCAGCCCCAGTTCTGTTTTATAGGACGAGCAAAGCCCGCCCTCAGAGGACACAGCTCTCGGCCCTGGGTGAGTGCGAGGGGCTGGAGACAGCCCCCTCCTCCTCAGCTTTCAATTGGCAAACTCCCTCGGCATCTCCACCGACTCCAGCGCCCGCCGTGAGCACACCCTAAGAAGACACACGGAGCCCTGGCCGGTTTGGCTGTGATTAAAGCGTCGGCCCCAGGGGCTGCAGTCGAGTCCCGTCAAGGGCACACACCTTGGTTCAAGCCCCTGCCAGTAGGGAGGCAACCAATTGTTGTGTCTCTCTCATCAATGTTTCTCTCTCTCCCTCCATTGTCTCGGGGGGAAAAAAATCAGTGGAAAATGAGAGATGCAAATCAAAACAATAATGCAGTACCATCTCACACCTGTCAGAATGGCCAACATCAACAAATAAACAAACGACAAGTGTTGGCGAGGTTGTGGAGAAAAAGGAACAACCCTCATGCACTGCTGGTGGGAATGCAGACTGGTGCAGCCACTGTGTAAAACAGTATGGCGTTTCCTCAAAAAACTGAAAATGGAACTCCCATTTGACCCAGAAATCCCACTCCTAGGAATATATCCCAAGAAACCAGAAACACCAATCAGAAAGGATATATGTACCCCCATGTTCATAGCAGCACAATTTACAATAGCTAGGATTTGGAAATAGCCTAGGTGCCCATCAGCAGATGATTGGATCAAAAAACTATGGTACATTGCACAATGGTATACTATGCTGCCATAAAAAAGAAGGAATTCTTATCATTGCAGCAACCTGGATGGAATTGGAGATCATCATGCTGAGTGAAGTAAGCCAGTCAATGAAAGAGAAACACATGACCTCACTCATTTATGGGTAATAAAGAACATTATAAACTGATGAACCAAAAGATAGATATAGAGACAGTAAAGCAACAAGCAGACTGTCAAATTACAGCAGGGAGGGTAGGGAGATCTGGGGTAGATAAGAGATCAACCGAAGCACTTGTATGCATGCATATAAGTAAAACCAATGGACTTAAAAAACTCTAGGGAGGGAGGGCATGTAGGGGAGTGGGAGAAGGGGCAATGGTAAGATATGAACACAGGTAATAATTTAATAAAAAAAAAAATCAGTGGATAAAATGTTCTTTGGTGAGGATGAAAGAAAAGAAAGAGCCCCATCTGGTGACACATGGTTTCTGTCTCTCCTTGTTCTCCATCGTCCTCCCTGAATGGCCGCCCACTTTGAACCAGCTGCTGTCCTGAGGCCTCACACCACCACCACCTGCCTGGGGTCACTTCCATCCCAGCCCAGGGAGGGCTGCTCAGCCGGCTCACACAGCCAGTGACGCACTTACCCACAAACGCTGCTCACTGTGGAGACAACAATGCAGAGCACAGCCCAACCTGGGAGCACGACCCAGCGGACAACGCAGACCGAGAGTCAATACGAGTCAGAAAAACGTAAGCACCATGGAAGCCAAGTCATGCAGCACAAGGAGGACTGCCTGTGAGATATTTCAAGTGACACAGGGCGCTCTCACACCCGATCCAATGCTTGAGGGTCTGACAGAAGGTGTCAACTCCTCTTCCACAGGCAGGCTCTAGGCGAGTGCCGAGTGCAGAACGAGGGCTAAATGTTTTCTTGAATTAAAATGAGTTCTTTGCAACTCGGGCCCTAAAAATAAAAATGCCAGGTCCTGAGCACCTGAGTCCTCATCCCAATCGATGCCTCTGGGCCCGCAGCCAATCCATGCTGCCCCGTCTCCTCAGTGAGCCTTTACACTCCACTCGTGTTACTCAGCTCCCTGCCTGCCTCCTTCATCCCCGCCACGACCTCAGGGGAGACCCTGCCTGGCGCAGGCGGTCAGGCCATGTCCCAGGGCTTCTGGCCGCTCCTCGCACTGCAAAACCACAGCGAACCCCCGAGGCCTCTCAGGACTGGAGGCCCCTCGGCCTTTCTGACCTCACCCGGTCCCCACTCCCAGGGGTGACACCAGGGCTGACCATGGACCACTGAAACACCAGCAGGTCTCGATTCCATCACTACAAAGCCAGGCTCGGGCTCAGAGCAGATGATGCGCAGCCTCCTAGGCCTGAAGGGCTCTGCGTCACGCCAGGGCCCAGTGGTGCTGGGACCGGAAGTTCCTAGAGGCCTGCGCTAACCAACCTCACAGGGCGTGGGCACTGGGCGAGTCCTGGGCAGGCTGTGCCTGCCCCCAAGGACCACCCTTCTCCTGATAACACGGGGTCCAAGGCACACGGCATCCCGACACCAGCTCCCCACATGTGCTTTTATGTGCGTGTCACAAATAGCACCTGAAGCTCTAAAATACACAGCAGATACACACAAAAATAAAAATATACAGGACACAGCCAAGAATATCCTTAACCACCAAAACTACTCTATGCACCCTGTGTTCTAAACCAGTTCTCGGCAAACTCAGTCAACAGATCCAAATATCAACAGTATGACGACTGAAATTTCTTTTAAGAGCCAAATTTTTTAAACTTAAAATTCTTCAAAATAAACTCGCCCAGACCGTGGTATTTTGTGGAAGAGCCACACACAAAAGGCCAAAGAGCTGCATGTGGCTCGTGAGCCGCAGTTAGTCGACTATGGTTCTAAACTCTCACTTTACAGTCCACACCATTTAAAATAAATACTTGCAAACACATACAAAGCGTAATGGAATATATAATACACTTCTTGTCAAATTTTATATATTTTCAGAACACTAAGACATAAAAATTAAATTAAAAACATACAAAATCCTTTTTGTGAGAAGATTTTGGGGGAGTTAATTTATCTCCAAGGAAAAGATATACATCTACGATTATTTCAACCCCAAAACTTTCCATCTTGGAAAGTGTGGTTAGCAGCATCTGAGGAACAGGAAAGGGTGAAGAATGCACTTGGTCTTAGTGAAACAAGCTGCCAGCCATTGGTCAAGACGGTGGGATTTCAGGGGCTCGCACTCTGATGGCTGACACCAGTCTGCTCAGTCGGAAAGCGCAGTGGTCTGATTCTGCGGCCTTTGCTGTAGTTGCTACAATGCCCGAGCTCGCTAACGTGGTGACACTAAGTTAGAGTGGGATAAATCTGCTTGAGTGGTATTTAACCTATTTAAAGCAAAATGAATACAAATCAAGCAAGGCCTGCTGCAATGAACTTCTTACCAAGGAAAAATTACCATTTCTTTATAGCAAACAATGCCCAAAGCTTCTTCAGAACAAATACCGATCACGTAAGTCCACGCACTTTCACCCGTTCCCTTTCCTGACAGAACCGGGCCAGCACCACTTCCTTCCCTCTGAGGAGACAGCCTCACTGCTGGGAGCTGCCATCACAACTAGAGAGGCCTGCATGGCAGCCGCTGCACAGGAAAGCGCCCTCCTGCCTCCGAGGGGGGCTCCCCCCCCCCCCCCCCAGAAGGTAAGGGGGAGAGAAACAGGTCCATAGCAGCAGGAGGGACCTAGACATTCCACAGGGAGGTGAGCCAGGATCCCTAAAGAATTTACCATTGCGAAGTATCAAGCCCATGTTCTCTAACATTAAAATCAAAGTATTTTAATTATGAAAAAGTTCCGATAAACGTAAAGATGGGTACACCAGGCCATTCCTGTGACAGACACGTGGAGTTCATCCCTCTACACCCTCTGCCTACGCCTTCCGTTCTCCTCTGGATTCCTCACATCCCATCACCTACAAAACCGAGCTCCTCACTGAAATTCACCTTCAGGGGAACTCAACCGTCCAGAGGTGGCGTCCTCTTCCCGCAGGCGCCTCACGGGCGCGGAGTCCCCGCTTTCCTCACTGAGGGGGGTGACAGCCTCGTGGCGTCCCTCAGGGCCCCCGTCTCCTCTCTGAGCATCCTCTGGGGGGCCGCGCCCCGGAGCGTCCTCGGCAGCAGGTGTGTTCCTCACGGAAGATGCGTAGGACCCCCCACTCGCAGGGGCACGAAGCCTGGGGCTGGGCTGGGCAGTGGCACTGGTAGCGGGCACTGAGCAGGGGTCCTTGCCAAGGCAGGAGAAGTCGGACATGCCCAGGATGCTGGCTCGCTCCCACCTGGAGAGCCGGGCTCTGCAGGGGTGGTGGGCGGGGCCGAGAGGCGACTGCAGCCCTGGAGGGAGAGGCCCCGTGCTCCTCTCCCGGAGGTTGTCAGGTGAGAAGTAGTCCTCATAGGAGGACCTGTCCCCGGCAGAAGCCGCCAGGGCAGGGCTGGCAGGGGCCTGACCCCCGGGAGAGGGGAACAGCCGCGCGGCAGACTTCCGGCTGCTCTTGGGCTTCTTCGGCCGCCCCTCTGGGGGCGAGTGGGTGTGCTCCGACGGGCGCTTCCTCTTCGACGAGGAGCTCCTGGGTGCGTGTCCCAGGTGGTGGCCTTTAGTTACCGAAGGCTGCTGGTCAGGGGTGGCCGCTGCGCCTGCAGGGTCCCTCTGCCAACCCGCGTCCTCCTCCGCACAGTGGTGCTCAGACGTCCGAGGCGCTAGCAGGCCAAGGTATCTGGGAGACGCTGGTGAGTGAATGCGGCTCATTTCCAATGCCGGTGACGGAGCACACACGTGGCCTCCAGCATCATTGGCGGCAGGTCCTCCCAATCTCCTCTCCGGGTCCCCATGCCCCGAGTCTCCACAAGGATCATCAAACGGTGACTGCAGACCGCCAGCCAAGGAGTCCTCTGGAAGACAAGAGAGTCACTTTAAGGAAGGTCTGGATCCCCGCGGCACACGAGGTCTCTCACAGCGACACCTTCCCAGCACTGTGCTCAGGTCAGGAGCCCCTCTCCCCCTCAGCCTGTTGGTAATGCCATGCCAGGTAGGTATGGAGGGACCCACACATTCACACACTCCCTGCACCCACAGCACAGGCTGCGGAGCCTCCTTCCGCAGCTCCTACTGTTCTCTGTAGTGGACACTTGAACTGCAAGCAGTTAGTTCAGGAGATATTTTTATTGTTTTTTAATGATCAATTGTTTCTGTGCCAAGAAAGAAAATGCCTAAGAGAAAAACCACAGGAACCAAAATGAGTCATGTGCTTATCGCAATTCCTAATTTCAGGGTGAATTCAGGAATTCTAGTTTTAACTAGTCTTCTCATCAAGTAAAATTCCAAATAAGAGAAAACTAAATATCACAGAAAATGATTTACCTGAACACAAAGTGTCCTGTGAAATATCCAAAGACGTTTCACACGAGGTGTGAACTGGGTTATCATAAGACATTTCAATCATCTGGGAAGCTGAAAACATAATAAAAACATTAGATATAATTCTGTTATTTTTTCAGATGCAGCCAGCAGAAAGCCCACACTTTTTGCTCTTAACCCTGGAGAATACTAACTATATACCCAATATATGCTTAAAACACAGGTGTTCCAAAAACATGTATACATACTTTGAATAATTATTAATTCCAATTTCTTTTCTGAAAAGAAAGAAACATCAATTGAGCTACTGAAAAATGTCTGTGTATACATTTTGGGGGAATTAATGAAGCATGGGGAATTTCTGGAAGAAAATTTAGTCTACTCTGAGATAAATTAAAATCTGTTAGAACCGAGCAACTTTAACTAAAATATCTAGATAAAGAAAAAACAACCCTTCCCACAATTTACGCAGTGTTCATTTCACCCAACGTGAGCGCTTACAGGTCGGGGACAGGTTTGCCCGCTTCTCCTTCATCTCCTGCAGCCTCTGCTCCATGGCGCTGAGCCGACCTCTGTGTGCTGTCGCCGTGGGGCTGTACATCAAGGCACCGCTGGACTCAAATAGGAGGACAGGCACGTCGTTATCTAAAACAAGGAAAAGCCAGTTGCTTGTTTGTGCCCATGATGTGCAGATTGGTCTGAAACACTGAATTCAGAGGACAGGTGACCCAGGCAGAAATATCCAAAACATACAAAGTATTTCAGAGTTTCATGACATTACAAAGTATTTGTCCAAATCATTAAAAAATATATCTAGTGAAATGAATGGGCAGAGGTGTCCAGCCAGTGTGGCTCAGTGGTTGAGAGTCGACCTATGAACCAGGAGGTCACGGTTGGATTCCCCAACAGGGCACATGCTGGGGTTGCGGGCTAGATAACCCATGTGGGGTGTGCAGGAGGCAGCCGATCAATGATTCACTCTCATTATTGACATTTCTCTCTTCCTCTCTGAAATCAGTAAGAATGTTTTTAAAAAATTTAAAAATGGAACTGCCATGTCCCAGCAATGCCACATCCATGGAGGTAACCAAAGAAAATGAAAGCTGTCTGCACACCATGTTAAATGCAGTGTTGTTGATAACGGTCAAGACATGGGGATCATCTAAATATCCATCAGTGAGTGAACGGATAACGAAAATGTAGTACTTATGTATACAATGGAGTACTACGCAGCCAGAAAACAGAACGGAATCTTGCCCTTTGGGACAACACGGATTGGACCTTTGAGGGCGTTATGCTAAGTGAAGTCAGACAAAGTAAGACAGATTCTGTATGAAATCGCTAATATGTGGAATCTTAGAAAAACAAAACCAACCAACCAACCAAACTACCCCTGAACTCCCTGATACAGAGGACAAAGTGGTGGTGGCAGATGTAGGGGACGGAATATCAGAAACTTGCTGAGAGCGCATCTCCAAAGCACCTGGTGGTGGAGGTTCAGGAGGTGCACTGATACCAATCCACCAGGTCGTCCACCTGGAACCAAGGTCCTGTTTGACTCAGTGACAGCTCAATACACAGAACTGTCCGGACCGATGAGCTCAGCAGCACGGCCCTGTGATGGCCACTACCAAACGCAGGGGACTTTATTCTGCTTTCTCTTCCTGGGCTACAGCCGCTGCAGGCCCCCTTGCGAGCAGACACAAAGGAGGTGCCATATTTCTTTGCTTACCTAATGTTGTTTTTTGCTTTTGTAGCTCATTGGCCATTTTCTCAAATTTCTTTTGAAGTCGCTTATCATTTTCTGGTGTTTTAGAAGTAAAATCTTTGGGCTGCATACATCTATGCTGTGTAAAAAAGAACACAGACATGAACTCTCAGTGCAGGCCAGGAAAGGGACCTGCCCGTGTCCGTTCTGGGTTTCTCTGATCACAGTAATAATAAAACCCTAAGGAGGCATTTTTGCACTACGTGTGAGTTTGTTCGATTGTAAACTACAATAATAAGGGCCCTGGCCGGGCGGCTCAGTCAGCTGGAGCGTCATCCTGCACACCGAAGGGCCCAGGTCAGTGCCGGTCGGCACACATCCAGGTGTGGGCTGAGGCGATGGATCCACGGAGTCTCTCTCACGTCAGTGTTTGTGGCCCTCCCTCTCCCTTACTCTCCAAGAAGGCAATACCATATGCTCAGGTGAGGATTTAAAAACACAATATGTAACTAGGGCTGGCTGTCCCAGGAGCTCTGCCTCTGAGGCATTTTCAGTATCCCAGCATTCGTAGTTTCCTTGAAAATAGTCTCTTTCTTCTTATTTTTGCTACTCTCATTACATTATGACTATCACGATAACATAGTAGTAAAACACAAAAGCAATTATTTTTTAACTGCCCAAGGAAAAAACATTATTTAATCTTATCTTTAAATCACAGTAACTCTGTTCAGCCAGTAAAAACCAGGAAGTATAACTACACATACACACGGTGACAGATCAGGAAACGTGGGCCTGCGAAGCCGGGAAGCAGCGTCCTGGCATAGCTCTTGGTTAAGAATACCGCTGCTCCCGGCTCTGCACTGGAGTGGAGGTGTCCAGCTGCACTGACCGCAGGCATCTAACTGGACCCACCCTCCTCTGCTGTGGCCACTGGGTGCCGGACTATGTATTGGCCTCCTGGCGACCTGGTTTTCTCTTGGCTGACAAAGTGCCCGCTTCTCACAGATCCCTCAAAGCACCCAGAGGGCAAAGTTCACTGCTCACCCACTAAGAACGCTGTGACAGCGACATCAATAGCGACACTGAAGGCAGCGCCTGATCCACTGCTGAAAGCTTTCCTTCCCAGGAATAAAGCAAAAGAATGAATAAATGAGTAACTGTCCACTCGGGGTCAGGTACTTACCTTTTTTTTAACGAGGCAGGGCAGGCGTTCATGGGTGTTCGCCGCCGGGAACAGGGCCTCATCGACGTGCGCCCCCGCCGTCCTGCACCTGCGCGAGGAGACAAGTCCTCGGTGAGCACCTGTGCTAGACGCGCATGGTGACCCCGGGCATGGTGTGAGGGGCACGTGTCAGTGTGATGGAGGACGTCCACGCACGGCCACTGTTACAGACATGTCTATGAAGTACCCACATTCAAGTACAGTCAGTGCTCTCCTCCCTAGTGTTCCTGAGGTGGCACGTGCAGGAAGCATTCCTCGGCGATAGTCTTAGACGTGTGACCCATTCCAGAATGACCATGACCTTAGACGTGTGACCCATTCCAGAATGACCATGACCTTAGAGGGGGGACCCATTCCAGAATGACCATGACCTTAGAGGTGGGACCCATTCCAGAATGACCATGACCTTAGAGGTGGGACCCATTCCAGAATGACCATGACCTTAGAGGTGGGACACATTCCAGAATGACCATGATGGAGCTCAGGAAGATGTGAGCATGTGCCATTAAGTGCCCCATGTAAAGGAGTACGTTAGAGCCAGAGGGTGCCTAAGAAGTGGAGGGCAGAAAGTGTATCTTTCCTCAGAGCCAGTTCTCCGTTCTGTGTGTTTTTCTCGGTCCCTGTCGCCTAGCTGGGCTGTGGAATGGGAGGCACCGCCGAGCAGTGGATGGCAGACTTCTTTCCAAAACAGACAGTAAGCGAGGCGGGTGACAGGACCCCCACTCTGCAGACGGCACCAGAGCTGGGGTCTCACACGGTGTCCACACCCCACAGGCTGTGGCTCCCAGGGCCTGGCTGGCAATGCCCTCCAGTGAACATCACCTGATCAGCATTGTGACCTTTCACCTGGCTGACCCCGATTCTGTGGACAGCAGGCCTGTCTCCTCCACAGACCTGTGCTGAGACAGGGAACGCCTCCAACTTTGGGCCTGATGACCTCATGGGTAACCAGAGATGGGTGTGCATTGCTCGCCTGTTTTTAATTAATACAGCGACACCAAACATTGCTGCTAGCGGCAGGTGCTTTAGAAGCACAGGCCTTGTACACACAGCTGTTCACTGCAGAACAGGCTCAGAAAACTTCAATGATGGGATTCTAGCGACACCTAGTGACTCTTCGTAGGTACTGCTTACATTTCCAGAAGAAAACAGGAGCAACAGCCTGGACAGCCCCTAACAAAGCAGACATAGAACCTGAAATAAAGGTCCATTTGGGGACACCTCTAAGTTATGTTGAAGAAAGTTCAAATGCACTAAAAATAAGGAAACAAATGACACCAACTTTATGTTCTCACCTACAAAGTGGGGAAGATGAGAGGGCGCAGTATGAGGGTGTGGTGTGAGGATAAGTTGTGAGGGTGCGGTGTGAGGGCATGGTGTGAGGGTGTAGTGTGAGGGTGCGATGTGAGGGCGTGGTGTGAGGGCGTGGTGTGAGGATGCAGTGTGATGGCGTGGTGTGAGGGTGTGGTGTGAGGTTATGGTGTGAGGGTGTGGTGTGAGGATGCGGTGTGAGGGCATGGTGTGAGGATACGGTATGAGGGTGTGGTGTGAGGATATGGTGTGATGGCGTGATGTAAGGGTGAGGTGTGAGGGCGCGGTGTGAGGATATGGTATGAGGGTATGGTGTGAGGATGCGGTGTGAGGATATGGTGTGAGGGTGCGGTGTGAGGGTGTGGTGTGAGAGTGCGGTGTGAGGGTGTGGTATGAGTGTGTGGAGAAAGGATACAGTGTGAGCCGAAACCGGTTTGGCTCAGTGGTAGAGTGTCGGTCTGCGGACAGAAAGGTCCCAGGTTCGATTCCGGTCAAGGGCATGTACATTGGTTGCGGGCACATCCCTGGTGGAGGGTGTGCAGGAGGCAACTGGTTGATGTTTCTCTCTCATTGACGTTTCTAGCTCCCTATCTCTCTCCCTTCCTCCTCTCTGTAAGATATCAATAAAATATATTTTTTTAAAAATGATACTTAAAAAAAAAAAAAAAAAGGATACAGTGTGAGGCTGTGGGACAGGGCCTTCACTGCTGGGAAAGCAGGGAACAGGCACTTCTCCAGGAGATAATCTGATGGCATCCACCACACCCAGCATGCGAGCCCCCGAAGCCCAGAAGGCCTCTGGGCTGTAACCCACGGAAAGCTGTGTCATGCAGGCAGTGCCTCCACGCCCTCCAGTAGTCACTGGGCACTTACGATGGGCCAGGTGCTGAGGCCTCTGTGGAAGCACAGCACGGACAAGACAAACACATGGATGCACTTTACATGGAATAGAAAGACCACAGCCCATGGTGACCGGACAGGTGGGTGACAAGACAGAGCAGAGCGGGCTCTAACAGCACAAAAAGGGACCAGAGTGACCCAGGGCCTCCTACAGACGGGGACACAGAGCACTTCAGGGCAGGGAGCCCTTCCACTGTGACAGGGAGGAGCAGCTGAGCACAAACAGGGGAGAGCGGGGCGAGGAGGCAGCATACAGGAATCCAGGGTCTGAAACATTTAGTGGCCAAAACTCAGCCCAAAGCTACGTCGTTTGGAGCCAAGAAAACGTGACAGCCTCCAGAGAAAACCCACCAGCAGATGCCAGCCTTGCTGGCTGGAATCATCGAAGAAGCACTTACAGGACGGCTTCAATTACACTCTGTACGGAAATGCTCCTGTAGTGACAGGCAGGGAGAGCAAAGACAGACATCTCAGCGGAGAAGCAACACACGCATATGTGAAAAGGAACCAGTGGGCCCTGGCCGGTAGCTCAGTTGGTTAGCGTTGTCCTGTCACGCCACGGTCAGGGGTGTGGTCCCCAGCCAGGGCACATTCAAAAGCAACCAAGGAGTTTGTGAATAAGGAGAACGGCAGATCGCCGTTTCTCCCTTCCTCTCTCAAATCAATAAAAACAAAAATAAAAATAAAGCCAAAGAACTGTTACAACTAATATTGCCCAAAATAATGTACTAAGTGGACACAATGATAAAACGGATTTGACAGAGAAGAGCAGTGAACGTGAAGATCAATTTGGCGAGGAAATAAAAACTGAAAAATAATGAAGAAAGCCAGGCCTCAGGGACAGTGGGAGGATATCAAAGGTCACAGGCTACTGACATAGGAGGGCCCAGGCCACCCGACCACCATCACACCCACCTCTGCTGCTTCTCTCAGAGCTGAGCAGCTCAATGAAGACCAAGGCTCTGTACAAGTTCTAGTGAGAGAGGGTCAAGGGGCAGAAAAGTTGCGTGAAGAAACAGCCAAAACCGAGTAGTTCATACGTTCAAACACTCCGGCGACATCCACACAAGACAAGTGGGAAAGCACGCCAGGGAAACTTGTGAAAACCCAAGTTAAGAAGAAAGATTGAGAGAAGCCAGAGGAAAGGGCACGTGACCAGGTGCCTCCTGAGCCCCCGAGGACAGCAGGCTGTGGGGACACCTGGACCTGCTTGATACGAACCACTGTCCACCTGGCATTGCATGTCCATGCAAACTGTATTCACAGATGCACCGGGAATAAGGACATTGCCAGACAAGAAAAACTAAGAAAATGTGTTGTCATCTCTTTAAAGAAATGCTACACGGACAGAACTGAAGTGAGAAATCAGCAATTGAACAATGACATTTGGAGACGTCAATAGGCCATTTAATGGTAGACAGATCAAGAAGAGGACATAAGACTTAAAAAAAAGTATGAACCAACTACTTTGACCTGTCAGGAAGGTACGTACAGAAGATCCCTTCCACAGCCACAGAACACACACTCTCCCGCACACATGCAATATTCTCCCAGGAGACCAATGTGAGGGTATAGAACAAGTCTGGCTACCTGAGGAAACTGAAATAATAGAAACACATTCTCTGACGACAACAGAATAAAGTGAGGTACCAAAAATAGAATGACGTTTGGAAAACTCAAAATATGTGGAAATTAAACAAGAAACTCCTAAGTAACCAATGGGTAAAGTAAACTGCAAAAAAAATTAGAAAGTATTTTAAAGTAAATGACAACCCCTCAACCCAGCTGAGATCTACCACCTCCCTTCTGCAAGCCTGGCGCTGGCCGGTCCTTCCTTATCACTGCTTTGCCCTTCCCTCCACTCCCTGGTGGAGGCTGCTGGCAAAACCCCACCCTGACTAATGCTTTCTGCCTCCTTCCAGCTGGGGGCTGCTCCCCTGGCCTCACCTTCAACTTACAACCACCCTCCTCAAGGGAGCAGCTCTCCTTTGCTGCCGCTGGTGCACGCCCACCTCCAGCCTGGCTCACTCAGTGCCTCCACCCCTTCCTGCTCCTACCCTGGCCCTGGTCCCACACCTGGTCCTCCTCCCATGCTTTTCACCTCAACACTCGCATCAGGGGCTCAACTGAGCCCCAGAAAATTCATAAGCCCTGACCCCCAGAACCTCAGAACATGACTGTATTTAAAGAAGAGCTTTCAAAGATCTAATTAAGGTTAAATGAGGTTATACGAGTGGGCCCTAATCCAATGGGACTAATCTATATATACTAGAGGCCCAGTGCACGAAATTCGTACACAGTAGGGTCCCTAGGCCTGACTGGTGATCAGGGCCTATTTGTGGGCAAATGGTGGGTTGGTCAGGGCCCCTCCCCCCCCCACTTGCACCTGACCCTGCTGCTGCCATTGTTAGGGCCTGTGGGCTGGGGGCAGCTCCTGTGTTAAGCATCTGCACCCTAGTGGTCAGTTACATCATAGCGACCAGTCATTCTGCTGTTTGGTCCATTTGCATATTAGGTTGTTCTGCTGTTCAGTCAATTTGCATATTAGGGTTTTATACAAATAGATAAAAGGCTAATATGCTAAGTGTCCATCCGACTGGTAGCTATGATGTGCACTGACCACCAGGGAGCAGATGCTCAAAGCAGAAGCTGCCGAGCTACAGTGACTTGGCAGCAGCGGTTCTCAGGTGACGCATCCCAAAACCAGAGAGGAGGAAGCCTGATTCCTCGGACGGGATGATTTGATTCCACTTTTGGCCATGAGTTATATGTTGCTGGGGCACTGTCGGCCCCAAATCTGGTTTACTGCACACTTGCGTTTGTGTTCCACACGCTGTATGACAGCAACTTTGCCGAGTGCCCTCTCGCACTCCGGGACCCCTCAGGGGATGTCAGAGAGCTGGATTTGGCCTGATCCCTGCCGGCCAGGCCAAGGGACTCCATCTGCAGGAGGGCCCCCCCTCACTCCGCAGATGCTGGGGCGGGACCACGGAGGTTGGCTCCAGGGCATGTCTGGCCCTTCTCGCCAGTCACCTTCTAATTAATTTCCTTTCAATGTGCACGAATCAGTTCTCCAGGTCACCAGTGTCTTTGTAAGAAGAGATGAGAACACAGACACTCAGGCACAGCCAGCTGTAGACCCAGCAGAGAGAGGCCTCAGAAGAAACCTGCCTTGCCAGTACCTATCCCTGAACACCAGCCCCCAGAACAGTGAGAATTACAGGTCTGTGTTCCAGTCCATGGAAGGTTGTTATGGCCACACAGGCGGCAGCTGGTACAATCACTTCATGACATCTGCTCTCTTATTGTTTCCTGAGCCCTCGAAGCACAAGCTCCTGGCTGTGTGCTCCTTCCCCTCTGGGGGACAGTGGGGGGTTGGGGGAGGGGGGAAGCTATAACCACTCTCCAACTTGGAAACTGAGGCTGGAGGGTGTCCAATGACGTGTCTAGCACGAGCCAGATAGCAATCAAGCACTCCCTGGTTCTGTGATCTATGGGAAATGCACTGCTCTGCTTACTAAACTAGCTCCTCAAGGGAAGAAAGGACTTACTTTTCGACCCAGAGCACAGAGACAAGCTTGACGCCTCTCTCTCGGGCTTTGTCCCAGGTGCGTGGGTATCCGTCTTTGAACACGACGTGAGTTACATGCTTGTTAAAAGTTTTTGAGACCTGCAGATGGAGTGCAGGAAAAAAAGTTACATTACTACTATTTGCACACAATTTCATAAAGTGAGTATAAGTGAGTGCCATTCATGGAGACAGATGCAAAATAAGCAACAAAACAGCAAACTGGTGGGTAATACTGGCAGGCAAAAGTTTACTGTTATTCACATGAAAAACAGTACAGGAATTAACAAATAACAATGCGAGAATAAACTGTTTCATGTACCCACAACTGTAAACTGACTTTTGCCCCTGAACATTCCCACCACTTGAATGTATTCCAGCACTGCAAAGTTGGTTAACGAGAAAAAAAAAATTAATGATTATTCACTACATTAACAAAATAAAAGATCATTATGATAATCTCAGTATATGCATACAACACATCCAGCAAAATTCAAGTTTATTCCAAGGACAATTCTTAGTAAATGAGGAGTTCAATGCTGGTACAAAATGCACTAGCCTTGACTACCTCAAGTTCTCGCGTGGTACACCTAAAATCTGTCAGATATTCCCAATGTCCCAACTTCACAACCTTCCCCTTAAACACCCGTTCCCTTCCCTACACTCCCCACTTGACCAGCAGCATCACGCCTCCAAGTAACCAATGGCAGGTCCGTATTCTCACCCTAGAGTCCTCCTTCCTCATGGACACAAATTCTTACTGTAGTCTTTTTTCTCCTGTCACTTTTCCACTGTCTTCTTTCCCCTTTGCGTTCTAATAACGCCCCAAATTATGTACAGAGGTCTACAATAAGGAACAATGGTTAAGGTGAATTTGTTACATGTAGCAATGGTGAGGGGAATCTGTTACTCACATGTACAATGGTGAGGTGAATTTGTTACATGTACAATGGTGAGATGAATTTCTTACCTTTGCCCCCATCTCCACAAGTTGGTTTGTAAATGTCTTTGAATAATTTTCTGTTCCATTGGCTGACCAAACTTCAACATAAGCCACTACATCTGAAAACAAACAAGGTGTTAGCATGAAATATACTGAAATTACATCCTCCCTTGCCCAAGTATTTCAATTTATTTCTCCTGTTATACTTACACTAAATTTTAAAAAATTTCAATTACAAGCCTATTCAAAATAGCATTTGTGCTATTATAGTTCTTACAAATTTCAAGCAAAGGACATACTTAGTCATACACATGACACCATTTACATTATGAACACTCAATGCTCCTCCCTAATCCCCAAACCAGGCTTAACTTTCCCAGGGCCAGAGTCTGTTTTCTGGAAAGGACCGGACAGTAAATATTCCAGACTCAGGAGCAGAGCTGTATTCCAATAAAACTTTATAAACAACGAAGTTTGAATTTGATATAGTTTTCGTCTGTCATCTTTCTCTACACCCCCTACCCCCAACCATTTAAAAAAGTAAGGAGCAACCACGGCTTGCAGCCCTGCAAGAACAGGCCACAGAAGACCTGGGCCGGGGCAGGCAGCGAGCAGACCCGGCTCCAGCGGCTTCTCTTCAAGACCTATCGCTGAGGAAGGAGGCGCAGGGTGCCCTTCTCACAAGGTGAGCCACGCAGGAGGGACGTCAGGTGGACATTACAGAAATGCCCACGTGAGAACTGTCTTCTCTTCCGACGCTAAGCCAGCAGGGCCCTTCCGCAAACCCCACACGCATCGCTCCTTCTCCCAACCGGCCCGCCTGCTGCTCCCACCCCCCTGGGGTTCCGGGCCCAGGTGCCCACCCAGGTACCCTCCCGGGTCAGGAGCAGGCCCGGCGCCCCCATCACGGCGCGGACTGGCTCTGCGCAGGGCGGGGTGGAGGAGGGAGCGCCCGCACCCTCCGTGCCTCGGTTTCCCCGCCTGCGAAGTGCGGTGAGGCCGAGCTGCTGGCCACACACAGCGTCACCCGGCATCGGCCCACAAGGTCCGAGCCGAACCCCTCGGGCCGCGGTGTTTGCCAGAATGACAGCGACGCACGTGGCCGCGGACCGCTTTTCCCACCTCCAGTCCCGGTGTCCCTGCAGCCACCGGCCCGCCCCGCGCGGGCCCCGGGGGGGAGCGGAACGCCAATGCCCGTGGGGCGGGGGGCGGCCCGCCGCCCGGGACTCGGGGTCAGCACCGCCCGCCCCGCGCCACGTCCCGAACCCGGGACAGCCCCACACAGCCCCGGGGGGCCGGGAGCTCCCCGCCGCCCGCCCCCGCCGCCGCCCGGAGAACCCGCCTCACCTTTCAGGACCGAGCCCTGTGGGGCCGCGGGGGCCGCCATGAGGGGGCCGGGAGCCGCACCGCCGACCGCGCCGAGCCCGACCCGGCAGCGCCGCGGCGGCACCGCGCAGGCGCCGCTCCCTCGGCGGATCCGCTCTCGGGCGGGTCGCAGCCGCGGCAGAGGGGGAAGCGGGGACCGGGGCCCCCGGGGCTGGGGCTGGGCGGTTCCTGCGCTGGTCCGTGTCCCGCTCCGCGAGGCCTCCGCTCGGTCCTCTCGTCCGTTAGGCGGGCGGGCGGCCCCTAGGGTCCGAGCCGAACCCCTCGGGGCCCGAAGGCGACGCGGGCACTCTCGGCGCCGCACCGGGGCCCACCTGGGAGCGGGCGCGGGAGGGAGGGAGGGCGTCGTCCGCTCAGGCCCCCGGGGCCGCGGAGTAACCGCCTAGAGCGCGCCTCGCCTCGCCTCGGTGCCCCGCGCTCCCCGGCGCCGCCCTGCCGTCCGCGCGCGGAAAGGCCGCCCGGGACGCCGGCGCGAGTGGGGACGCCGGGCGGGCGCCCCTGGCGACCAGCGCCGCCGCTCGCGAGTCCCGGCTGTGGGCTGCGCACTCGAGGCCGCGTTGCGTCCCTGCGCTCCGCCGACCGGCTTCAAACCGCCCGCCCGCCCGCGCGGCCCCGCCCACCCCGCGCAGGACGCAGACGCAGACGCAGCCACGTCCATCCCGGCCAGGGCGCAGGCGCAGCCCCGCCCCCAGGCTCTGCGCAGGCGCACGCCGGGAGCACGCGCCTGGCGGGTCCAATGGGGAGGGCGCCCCTGGGCGTGTCCGCCGGGCCTGCCCTGGGGCACGGAGGGTCTGGCTGTCAAGCCGCTGTCCTTCCTTCCACACACTTTCTCTGAGACCCTGGACCGGTTAAAGGATCCTTGTCTTTTGCACTTAGGAAAGACGCAAGCCGAAACCGGTTTGGCTCAGTGGATGGAGCGTTGAAAGGTCCCGGGTTCGATTCAGGTCAAGGGCATGGACCTTGGTTGCAGGCACATCCCCAGTAGCAGGCATGCAAGGGGCAGCTGATCGATTACTCTCTCTCATTGATGTTTCTAACTCTTTACTCTGTATCTCTCTCCCTTCTCTCTGTAAAAAATCAATAAAATGTATTTTTTAAAACTGTATTAAAAACCACACTTTCATTTCTAGGGCTCGCAGTACCAACTTTCGGTCGGTCGTGCAGATTAAACACACTCTATTCCTCAGTGGAAGTCACAACCTGAAGAGTCAAAGGGCCCCTTGTGACCTGGGGGCCAGAGGGCAGACTCCATCTGGAATCAGCTGGAAGGACCTGGTGTGAAGATTGGGCTCCAGATACCTCATAGCCAATCATCTATGAGCTATATTGATGAGATACTACCGGCCCTGGCCCCCTCGTGCCACCTGTCCCCCCCCCCCCCCCCTCCCCGCGAACTTCCTCTTCCCCTAAGGGGGCCTTAAAGACAGTGACATTTATGGCTTACTGGTGTATTATCAGTCAATCCTCCCTAGGAAGTGAGTACATTACCTTACGTATATGTTTCCCTCCTGGATTCTCACTAAAATTCTGTTACTGTAAAGGTATTTATGTGGTAACCTGGAAACAAATTGCCTCTGTCTTGCTGCCTCCCCCAGTGCCCTGATACCCTGTTTCCCGAAAATAAGACAGTGTCATATTAATTTTTGCTCCCAAAGATGCACTAGCTCTTATTTTCAGGGGATGTCTTATTTTTCCATGAAGAAGAATACGGTACACATTTATTGTTAAATGAAAATAAAGGAGATTTATTACCTGTATATGGTACGGTAGTACGGTAGTTGTCAACACAAACCAGACAAACTGAATCCTATAGTATCAAGAATTTACTCATTTATTCAATGACAATCATGTCATCATCATCTGGAACATCATCATAACAATCCAATTCCTGAATTTCCTGGTGAATTTCTTGTGACTCCATTTCTTTCAGAATCAGTGGACCAAATCTTTCATATTTAGCCTAAGGGGGAGCCTTATTTTCGGGGGGATGCCTTATATTTCACTCAGAAGGAAACCTGTAAGTAGGTCTTATTTTCGGAGGATGTCTTATTTTCGGGGAAACACGGTAGTTTAGCAAGGCTTTCTCTCGTTTCATGTGATATCATGCGATGCTCACAACAGACCTATTGAGTAATTATAGGCGTCATACATAGAGCTATTATACAAGCATATAAATATGACCTTACGACACTCTTAAGCAACAGAAATGGGACCAAGTATATTTTAAAGGTCTGATTGGCTTGACAGAAGGATTCACTGGTGAGTTGGCACCCCATCCAGCCAGCAGGAAGGAGCTCTGGAGGCTATGGACTGGGGAAGGCTTTTATTTATTTTTAAAATATATTTTATTGATTTTTTACAGAGAGGAAGGGAGAGGGATAGAGAGTTAGAAACACCGATGAGAGAAACATCGATCAGCTGCCTCCTGCACACCCCCTACTGGGGATGTGCCTGCAACCAAGGGACATGCCTTTGACTAGAATCGAACCCAGGACCTTTCAGTCTGCAGGCAGAAGCTCTATTAAAAGCACAGAGGGGGTGGGATCAGGAAATCCCACTTTTTAGAAAGGATTATGTCTGGTAAGTCACCCTTCTTGGGAGACAGTTGCGGCTGTTAGGAGGATTTAAATTTAAATTTTGGATATTAACACCTCCTTGATGCCGACCAGGAGATGCCAAACTGGCGGGCTAAGCTTACTACAATCCTGGGAAGGCTGGAACTAGAATGAAGCTTGGTTTGCAGATGTGGGGCTTAGCATAAGTGACTGTATTTGGGGCCTGGTGCACGAAATTTGTCTCTGTGCCGCACACACAGTGTCAAGTCCCTGCCTACCCATGCACGCCTCATATGAAGCCCCGCCCACCCCGCCTCCTGGTGATGGGTTGTTATGGTGCGAGGGCATCAACATAGGCTTTTATTATATAGGATTGTTACTGAATTTATTGGGGGACATTGGCTAATAAAATCACATAGGTTTTAAGAGTACAGTTCTATCACACATCACCTATATTTGTATGTGTTCACCACCCCAAGTCAAGGCTCCTTCCATCACCATTTATCCCTCTCATGTCCTCTGATAATCACTATACTGTTGTCTGTGTCTATGAGGTTGCTTGTTTGTTTGTTTATTTGTTTGTTGTTTTGCTCAGTCCTTTCACCTTTGTCTCCCATGCCTGCAACTCTCCTCCCCTCTGACAGCTGTCAGTCTGCTCTCTGTATCTGTCGGTTTCTATTTTGTTTGTTAGTTTATTTTGTTCCTTAGAGTCCCCATATAAGTGAAATATAGTACTTGTCTTTCTCTCATATAGTACACAATGCTTTCCAGGCCCACCCCTTCTGTCCCAAAGGTTTCCTTTCTTTTTACGGCCGAGTAGCACTCCGTTGTGTAAATGCACCACAGCTTTTTTATCTACTCATCCAACGATGGGCACTTGGGCTGCTTCCATCGCTTGGCAAAATAACGCTGCAGTGAACAAGAGGGTGCACATAGTCTTTCAAGTTAGTGTTTCAAGTTTCTGCGAATACTTTCCCAGAAGTGGAATCACTGGGTCGTGAGGCAGTTTCGTGTTTAATTTTTGAGGAAACGCCATACTGCTTTCCACAGTGGCTGCACCAGTCTGCATTCCCACCAACAGTGCACAAGGGTTCCCTTTTCTCCACATCCTCACCAGCACTTGTTGTTTGTTGATTTACTGATGATAGCCATTCTGACAGGTGTGAGGTGAAATCTCATTGTGGTTTTAATTTGCATCTCTCTGATGATTCGTGACATTGATCATCTTTCCATATGTCTATTGGCCTTCTGTATGTCCTCTTTGGAAGAGTAGTCAGGTCCTTGGCCCATATTTCAAATTGGATTTTTTTTGGGAGGTGTTGAGTTTTATAAGTTCTTTGTAAATCTCGATATCTTGGACATTAACACCTTATCAGATGTATTGTCGGAGACTATGTTCTCCCATTCAGTGGGTAGTTTTTCATTTTGTTGATGGTTTCCTTTGCTGTGCAGAAACATTTTAGCTTGATGTAGTCCCATTTGTTTATTTTTTCTTTTGTTTCCCTCACCTGAGGTGATATAGCAGAAAACATATTGCTATGAGAAACGTCTGAGATTTTACTGCCTCTGGTTTCTCCTAGGATTTTTATGGTTTCATGTCTAACATTAAAGCTGTTGGTTTTTCTTAACTGAACCACAAGAGGGGCTACCTTGACAAGCCCTACAAACTCATTAACTGAAAGTAGCCACACAGGATGTGTTAAGCATAAAAATTCCTCACACGGCGGGTAATGATCGGACTCCACATCCTGAAGCCGACATAATAGGTTAAACTTCACCTGAGCAAGCCCGGCCCATTGTTTTTGTATGCAATGGAACCTCGATTCTCAAACTTAATTCATTCGGGAAGGCTGATGAAGAAGGGATTTGTTTGAAAACCGAAATATTTTTTCTCATTAGAAATAATGTAAGTCTGGCCGGTATGGTTCAGTGGTTGAGCATCTACCTATGAACCAGGAGATCATGGTTTGATTCCCGTCAAGGGCACATGTCCGGGTTGTGGGCTCAATCCCAGCAGTGGACATGCAAGATGAGGCCAATCAACGATTCTCTCTTATCTCTGATGTTTCTATCTCTCCCTCTCACTTCCTCTCTAAAATAAATACAAATATATATATATTTAAAATAATGTAAATTGAATGAATTCATCCCATTCCCCCAATTGATGCCCTGTTTTAGCCTCTCTTATATGCAGTGCATGTCTAATGTACTGTTTAACCTACAAACAAACACTTATTTTCTGACATTTATCAAATCACCCCCCTCTTGGCCTTAAACTTTAAGGCTTAAAGCAATCTCTTCAGCACCGGTACAGGGTGACTCCCAGGCTGTCAGATGCAGCAGCTTTATTGCCTCTGCCTGGTTCCGATGCTGCCACTGGCTTCCTGCTTCTCCTTGATCTGAATCAGCAACTGTTCTTTTGCCTCTTGCATTGCCTGATTGTTGTTTCTGTCACTATCCTAGCAACATCAGCATTCTCAATGGCCTCTTTATATTTAAAAACTAGAGGCCTGGTGCATGAAATTCTTGAATGGGGGAGGGGTCTCCCTTAGCCGAGCCGAGCCTGCAACCTCTTCAATCTGGGACCCCCCAAGGCAGTTGGACATCCCACTCACAATCCAGGACTGCTGGCTCCCAACTGCTCGCCTGGCTGCCAGCCTGATCACCCCTTAAACACTCCCCTGCCAACCTGATCGATGTTTAACTGCTGGCCCGATTGCCCCTAACTGCCCTCCCCTGCAGTGTTGATCATCCCCAACTTCCCTCCCCTGCAGACCTGGTCCTCCCAACTCCCCTCCCCTGCTGGCCTTCTTGTGGCGGCCATCTTGTGTTCACATGGGGGCGGCCATCTTTAATCATATGGGGTGGCCATCTTGTGTGTTGAAGTAATGGTCAATTTGCATATTACCTCTTTGTCATATAGAATTGTGCTAATCGTCCATTTTGCCAGCAACATAAACACATATTATGAAAAAGTATTCTCAGGTGACCTTACCTGAAGTAATCCTTTTAAAAACATTGCATTTCCCTGCCCCACCCCCTCTGTGCTTTCACACACCTTCCGTTTCTGTAGCCTCAGGAGCACCTGTTCACTTGCCGATGGGACATGGCCCAATACGCAGATCATTCAGGAAAGCCAGTTAGATCTTTACAAGGTACTTGGTTCAATTTCTGTTGCTTAACAGTATGACAAGATCATATTTCTCTATCTGTATAACAGCTGTACTTATGATATCTATAAGCCTGAAAGTCTTTTAAAATAAAAAGGTGAAGAAAATGATGGCAGGACACGAGCTGCTAGGCGGTAGTTAGCCCTGCGGGCCCTCACCTCTGGGCAGAAGACCCACCCTGGCGGCCAGGACGTGGTGGCCTCAGGCCCAGAGCAGTCCCACAGGGAGCCATCCTGTTCTGCACAGGGTGAGAGGAAAAGGGGGGTCCAAGTGGCAGAAACAAAGAAAGAATTAAAAGAAAATCAGTGTCATCACTTGGCACATCTCGCCCTGTCCAGAGAAAAGCACTCTGCTCTACCCACCATTTCCAACTGTGGCTGAAAGGATGTTCAAAACATGCAACATTTATCCCATCCCTGGAGCATAATCTGGGTGGGTAGTTTTTTTTTAAAAACAACAACAACAACAAAAAAAAACAACAAAAAAAAACATGCAACACCTGACTATTCAGTCAAGGCACTGACTGCGTTTCCTTTAAAGTGTCAACCCAATGAAAAATGACAACAACCAATACAACAACAGCTGTCTTGTGTTAATGAATCATTTCTACCTTTTTTTTTTTTTTTTGTCAGATCAGCAACATATATATTTTTTGGTGTGCTGCAGAATTTTAGTAACTCGTGTAAGTGCTATGAGATGAAAAAAGTTGAAAATCACTGTGCTATGTGATTGACAATCATTTCTGTGAAAGATGGGATGATTTTACTACAGAATTTGTAATGGCTAGGGAAATATTGCTGGTACCAGATTCCCTCTGGCATCCAGGACCTAGCTTCCCTCACAGTCCTGGCTTCATCCAAAAAGTTGTCCAGAAGGACTTCTGGTCTAATTAGCATATTATGCTTTTATTATTATAGAAATATATATTAGAGGCCCAGTGCATGAATTCAAGCATGTGTGGGGTCCGGCCAGCCTGGCCAGGGAGAGGGGACATGGGTGGTTTGCCGGCCTGCCAGCTGGTTTAATGCCTGGTCAAGGGGACAATTTGCATATTAGCCTTTTATTATATAGGATATACCCTGAGTGGCCAGATTATTATGCATTCAGAGACCATAATAATCTGGCCATTCAGTGTATAGAAATGTTTTTAAAATGGTTTTAAAATGTTAAGAAGGTTTTAAAATGTTTAAATTAACTTACCTTAAAACTTAAAGTGTGATATTAAGAACAGCGGGAACTGCCCTGAAGCATGTGTACCTCAGGTAAGGATTTGAACTTCCGTTACTGACTCAGAGTGACTTGCTAAGATAACCATTTGAGTGAGTGATGTACTCCCTCTAGATAACCACATGTAGCCCCTCGCCCTGTTTGAGATTAACATGTGTGCATTGAGGTCATTCGTTGATAGCCACCTGAACTGCTGCGAGTATGACACAGGCTTTAAAAATGGGTCCTGAGCAGCCAGCAGTGCCCACCTGTCGAGACCGACACAAAGGCACGTCCTTTTGTTGGTCCTACAAGTGATGCCGCTCCACGCCCTGCTTCCTGCCAGAAGACAGAAGAACAGCTAGTACCTCCCAAGCTCTTGGTCGAGGGACGCTGGCCCCTGCATCAGGACCGCCCCAGCCCAGCTGCCGGACCCCAGAGGACAGCACCACCGGGACCCCATCAAGCCTGTACCAGCAGCATCAGGAACCCTTCAGTCTGCAGGCCGACGCTCTGTCCACTGAGCCAAGCTGACTCAGGGCTGTGTCTGCTTTCTTGACCGTGTCTCCCCATGGCCCTGCTCCCAGCTCCCTCCAGCGTTGTCTCTGTTTAATGAACGGTCTCACCATGTCACAATCCCAGCGCTCACACAATCCCCACCCTCGTAAGTGCCTGCATAGTGAGGCTGCAGCAGTGCTGAATGAACAGGTGGATGAAGGGAAGATGAGACAGCTCCGCAGGGTGCCCCATTTTCCAGTGACGTGGACGTGCTGCAGGAGAGGGGACAAG